AGCAAGAAAAACCTATCTACAAACAGCAGACTATGCTACCTGCAAGAACCTATTATCCTAGGGTAAAATACAATTAAAAAGAGATTCTTCAAAAGCACACAAGATTGTATTGTAGTATTGTTGAAATAGAGTTAGAAAATTGGAATATTTTATGATTTAATAAAATATTAAAGGGAATATGTAAAATGTTTAAGGTTTAATGATAGAGTTTAATTTGCTTTGGATTATTGTTTCAACCATATTATGAACGTATTAGTTTATTGTTTTCTTTTATCTGAAACAATGTTAGAAAATTTGATTTTTATAGGATTTAACAAAATACCAAAATGCATAAATGATAAAGTTTAATATATTATGGATTATTGTTTCAATTATATTATAAATTTATTATTTTTCTATCTTAAAATGTAGTAGGTAGTTTTAGAATGTGCTAAGCAGAATCAGAATGAGAATTATATATTGTTTTAAGTGTTAAATTTAGGGGAAAGATATAAAGGCATCATACTTCAGTTAGTGATTACAGGAGAAATATTGTGTTAATAAGAAAAATGGATGATTACAGAATGGACAAAAGATATCAGTATAATGATCTAAATGGAGATGAAATAAATAAAATAGAATTAAGAGAGTGAAAAGAGGGGAGAAGCCATATAGAAAATATAGAATGGTAAATAAGATATGAAATGGTATATAAAGTGAGCATGAACTTGATTTATGTCTGTACCAAAAGATGTAACCCGGGACTAGGCCGCTTTCCAAAAAGAAGTTTTATTTTTTCATGTTTTGTGTTTTCTTTGTGTATGTTTGTTTATTGAAAATTAATAAAATTCTTTAAGAAAAAGAAAGAACCTATTATCCTCAGGCTTTCTACTCCGTATCTTTTTTTTTGCTTTGTTGTTTTTCCTCTGCATTAGACCAGCACTGCCAATTACTTAAGAGTGATTGATAGCAATTATGGCCTTCAAATAGGACAGATTGCAAGCAACATTCTAATCACTTTCAACAATAAAATAGAAAATATTATGTTAAGAAAAGGGGATGCTATGAGTACAGATAACTTGGCATCTGTAGTTGCTGAGTAAATACAGCTTTCAGCAGGTTCCCTTCCTAATTGGAAGATTTCAAACTGTTCATCAACAAAACGAAATCAGAACCTTTCTCTGCCTTTCTGAATCAAATTGCATTGTGTATGGAAGTGCCTCCCTTCCGTCGTATCCCAACAGGAGCAATATTTTTTATCAACTTTATGGCAGTGGTTAAAGCTAAGTAAGTTCTCCTCATTTATTTGATTTTTATGGTCACTCATTTGCAGAATGACTGACTTTGGAGAAGTCTAGTTCTAAACAACACCCTGAATTTTATAGCTAGAAGTCTAGTTCTAAACAACACCCTGAATTTTATAGCTCAACTAAAGTGGATGTATGAAAATGCTTTGGAAGCAGCTTCAGCAAATTGGAAGATAAATTATCTGAGACAGAGAAACCACCTTGTAGAAGGGATACATCTATGACTTTTAGCTTCCATATGGAGTTTAGCTTGGGACAGTGGTGGGTTTCAAAAATTTTACTACCAGTTCTGTGGGCATGGCTTGGTGGGCATGATGTGGCTTGGTAGGCATGGCAGGGGAAGGATACTGTAAAATCTCCATTTCAACCCCACTCCAGGGGAATAATACTGCAAAATCTCTATTCCCTCCCCACTCCTGGGGGAAGGTTACTGCAAAATCCCATTCCCTCCCCACCCCACTAACCTGCTTTCCAGCTCCATTCTCCTGTGCAGGGCAACAAAAGAAGACCCAGCCAATCAGCTGGGACTTGGGAGGCAGAGAATAGATGGGGGTGGGGCCAGTCAGAGGTGGTATTTGCCGGTTCTCCAAACTTCTCAAAATTTCCGCTATTGGTTCTCCAGAACTGGTCAGAACCTGCTGAATACAACCTCTGGCTTGGGATAAATTTGCCCTTACAAATCAAGTTCAAAACAGATTGCATGTTGAGATTTCAGTGAATTTCTAAGGGCCCAATTATCACTTAATAAGTCTTATGTTGTATTAATGATTGGAAGGATGAAAGAGTTTTTTGTTGCCATGAAATGTATGGAAACAAGAAACTGATGCCTAAGATTGTGATCTGTGCCTTAGAAGAATCTCCTTAATGATGTTTTCTGGAATGTTCTAAATCGGTGTTTCTCAACCTTAGCAACTTTGAGGTGTATGGACATCAACTCCCAGGGAATTAAAATCCATATATCTTCAGGTTTCCAAAGATGAGGAAACACTGCTCTAGGTTGTTCCTTAATTGAATACTTGTATCAACTGCTTATAAACTCCACTGGTGCATTAGATCATTAGCAGTATAACTGAGTCATGTTTTACCACCTTCAGATTCATCACCTGTGTGCCAAGGTAGAAAACTCAGACCACAACAGATTGGAAGATTGCATTTGGGCAGTTGGTTTCCAGAAAAAAAAAAATTCTTCAAAAGAGATTATGCTTTTGTAGGAATAAAATACAGGTGTGTGAAAGATATACAGAACATTTAAGTCTTTGCCAAATATTATAAGTATATCATTCCCAACTTCCCCAAGAAGAAGATACCTCTTTCCAATTTGCTGTAAACCAAATTTCAGTTCCACGATACAGAGGCTCTCAACCTGTTTCACTATCTGAAACAAACCTTTATCTCTTAGTTAAGTCTATGTTATCAGGATCCAGAAAAGATTTCTGTGACGAATGCAGATGTCCCTGCCTATGCAATTGGTAAGGTGTTCATACAGCCATCTAAAAAGTACTCTGTTACATTTTTCACTCCAGGAAACTTCTGAAATATTATATAAATTTACAGCAAGTGAAAGAAAGCTTCTGGTCATTTAATCATCCTTGAGACCTGACCATCTTCTACCGAAAGGCACTCATTTCTTTTTCAAATATACACAATCATCACTAGGTATGATAATCACATCCATAATATTTACAAGTTGCATGGAGATATAACCAAACCCTTTTGGTTTCTAAGTTCAACTAAGTTCCATTTTACAATCTCTTCTTTCTTCATTAAACAGGGTGTTGTCCTTTCTCAAAGGCAAGGATTAGAAGGAAGGTCTGCTTCCTTCACTTTTTACTAGAAAACTTCACAACTACCAAACAGTCTGTATCCTAATTGGACAAGATTTCACTTTTAATCGGATCCATGGGTTTGGTGGTCCTTGAGGTCCAAAAGATTGGCGGCCTGATGTAGATGACCTATTTCAAACCAGTGGTCCTTTTCGTGCAGAATGTAGCCTTGTCTCCCATTGCCACCCAGATCAATGCTATGACTGATAGCAATTATGGTTCTAAACAGAACAAGGACTGCGTAGAGCAAAAAGCACCACATCAATACTGCTTTGTTCATTAAGGCAAATCAGACGTTGTGGTCCACAGCTGAAGGCATAAAGGTGATTCTGAGTTTGATTCACCCAACATTTTTAATCTTCTGTGCTCCATGATGGTGATGAAAAGTTGGCGCCTTAACCTGTGTGCAATTCTTGGCAGGAATATAAATAGCTGGAAACCTCACTAGACATGTTGACTTTCTTCATCTATCGTAACATTAAATCTCCTGTGAACAGTATTAACAGCTATATATGCTGCAGTCCATAATTCCAAGAATGCCTCCGACTATGAAAAATCAGCAGGTCGTTTTTCACAGAATTGTGATGATGCTGATTGCTCAACAAAGCAACATCCAGCTGAACACAGGAAAATGCTTCCCCACTGGAGAAGGATGTAATTTGAACATTGTCAGAGGCAATTGAATTATTTGTTCATTAGGATGTGGTCCCCTCCCCCTTATTTCCTGGACGGAGCTCTTCTGCCACATTAACCAAAGCATTTGCCTTGGAGAGTAGGTACATACGGGAGGTGGCTAGCTGCACATAACAAGTTGCTAATCGTGGGGAAATTATAATGGCTTTTTCATGGTCCATTGTCATTTAGTTATCTACATGCAACGAGTACCCTCTATGTGCAAATGTCCCCATTAGCACAGGGGCATAAAAGGCCAATCTATTTATTTTGCAGTCTGCAATTGCTGCGGAGGTAAAAGGGCTAAGTACACATTACAGGCTAATGTGCTTAACTCTGTTCCAGTCCTGGTTTTTTAATCACTGAAACATCTTCAGTAGTAGGCAATTTAGGATGGACATGTAGCAGAGGTATGCTTAACTGCTTCCTGGTTTTGTCAATCTTGCCATTGCCATTTGATTTTTTTTTTTTTTTTTGTCCCCTAATAGGATGGCAGAGAACATCTGAAATTCAGGGCATGAAATCCGTTTTGGCTAATCAGATTCTAGCAAAATCTAAAAGAAATTCTCCTAAAGTTAAGAACTCTTTGCTAATGGAACCAGTGAGATGGAGAAGTGATGGACTTCTGCTTTGCTGGAAATTTTTAGATACCAAAGAGAATCTTTCAGGGCTAAATTCATTTAGATTCTTGTGCTAACCAACATGGACTAGACACCCAATTCTAACTCTGATTCTATGACTCTGTACAGGTCTTCGGCTTAGGACTACAAGTGAGCCTGATTTTTTTGTTGATAAGCAAGAGTTGTTAAGTCAGTTTTAAATGAGTGTGTCTTTTGAAGTTGAGCCTTTTATTCTGATTTAATGTGATGGCTATTCAGCCATTTGACAAATTGTCTTCCTGAAGAATTTATGATTCAGAAAAATAATGACTGTGTTTGCTCACTGCTGATTTTCTTAAACTTATTTGTTTATCTGTCTATCTATCCATCCATCCATCTATAAAGCTTTTCTTCCACAACAATTGAACACACACACACACACACACACACACACACACACCAAATATGTGCCAGAATGCCTATTCCTTAGACCTAATGCCTATTACATAAAGCTTCAGGTACTATAAACATTTAGTTCTTCTATTAGAAAGTAGAACGTATCACCTGTTTGGACCATGGTTGCTTTATTAAAACACACAGATGGAAGAGCGGGCGATGCATTACTGTTGAAAGTACCATATGTAGACAAACAGGGAGGCAGGCTTGAGGGTGACTCCAAGTTTGGAGACCAATGGAACATGGCGATAACCTGAAAGAAAACCAAGAAGACAACAATGCAAGCATGTCAAGAAAGAAACAACAGTGGAAAAAATGAACCATCCACATGGACTTAGTGAATTAGATGGATCAACAGTCTGACTGTTACATCACCAGTGCTAGAAGGGACTTGGTCAAATAAAGAATTCTATTCTAGTCTAGTCTAGTCTAGTCTATTCTAGTCTAGTCTAGTCTGGTCTAGTCTTATGTTACTGGAGTATGGCTTACGTGCACACTGTGGCACATGCAGAAATACACTTCCTCAGAAAAAAACATGTATGTTTACAAAATTTTAAACAATTGTTCCTCTTTGTGTGGTTTCAACAATAGATCAATTTGATATAGATTTTTCAGAAGAATCCTCTTTCTATTTTCTCTGACTAACTTCATGCAGCAATACACAAGTATATATTTTATCATTGATTTTAGGTGCTCTGTGTTATTGATAAATAGATGTTTTCCCCTTCCATAATAACACTTGTAGATATTCTCTGACAGCACACCAAGTTTGTCATCTCATTAGAGTCTAAATATTTCATGATGCTTCATGCAGTGTGAAATTAGCTTAATATGTCTTTGGATATTTTATGATGATGGGCATGCAATATTACACCCAGGAAAATATTTTACAAATGGAATGTTATGCTTTTTGCAAGTATGTAATAGCAGAAGAAATGAACTAGAGAACATGACTGATTTCCATCACACAAACTTAAATTCATTTCAAACACTCTTAGATAAAATACCTTCTCTTATTCTCTAAATCTAATTTTGGTTAATTTAAATGCCCCAAACAAGTCAGGGTATTTGTAAAACAATCAGGATTCAGTCTAATTCAGAATTAGGCAGAGCCTTAAAGGTGCAAATTAATAAGTGTGCACTGTGATTTTTATAGACATAAGGGTATTCATTTATCTACTAGCTCAATACTCATGCTTTGCTACAAAACTATGTGGTTGGGCTTAGTTTTGGGGGAGGAAAATAAGAGGGAAAAAATTCTGCCTCTGCCTACCAGCATTGGTATTCATCTGGCTAGGGTCCTGTCAATGTGTGAAAGAGTTGAAGGCTGTTTGGAAACTGAAACAGTATTTGCTGTGTGAGCAAGAAGGAGACAGCAAGGAGCCTGGGCATGACTTAGCTCAACTGTTCTGTAATAAAACTGCTTGGTGCTGTGAAACTAAAACTGAAAGTGAAACTCCTCTGCTTGAGTTTTGCATTTGGAACAGATTTCTTTTCGGGTGGGAAGGGGGAGTAGAACTCCTTGGCATCAGAGTGTGTTAATAATAATATAGGAAATACTAAATGCTCTGATGGTCATTTTGAAAAATCATTTCTTAGTGAGCACCTAGAAGCCAAGAGGAACATACGTGCCAAATTTCAACTTTGTAGGCTTTACAGTTCTGGAGAGTTTGTGATGATGTGTGAGTGGTATTTTGCTTGTATATATACATAGATAGATTATTTATTATTTCACTGTATCCCACCTTATTATCTTTACAGATAAGTCCCCGTGGTACACCTATCCAACACACCTTTGTCCTATTTTGCCAACAACCACCCTGTGAGGTAGACTGCACTGAGGGAGGGTGATTGGCCCAAGGTTCACCCAACTGTCTTTCATGGCTGAGGCTGGACTAGAACTCAAGTTTTCCCACTTTCTAGCCTGGTGCATTGACCACTAAACCAAACTGACTGTCTATGTATAACTGAAGTTCCAGTTCAATCAAGAAAGGCAGCAAAGGATAACAAAAGGAATCCGAGTTTAATCTCCTCCTTTTGTAAATTTAAAAATATTCAAATCATGCTCACTCCTTTTTACTGGTGACTTATCTTTGTTCTGTGTGCTGTCAACTTTTATTTTATTTTTTATTATGGTTAAGGGCCTCAAAAGCTAGCATGAAATATAACTGAGCATTTCAATGGCTCTTTTATTGGGCTGTGTATGTAATGTTAAATTCGAAGTAATATTTTATAACTTGCATTTGAAAGGGGGAGAGAAACTTGTTTCCTGAAGCTCCTGGAGGAGTCATTTCTAGGCAAGTTGATGGCTGGAAACTGGAAACTAGTTTGACTTCAGAAGGCTCCACATTAGAACAATGTCTGCGTATTAAATATGGTCTGACATTTTCCTATTCTCTAAATTCAGAGTATAGTTTCTTCCCTTGGTTGGGATGTATATTCTATTTTGTCTACTGATGAGCTAAAGACAGGAATAAGGTTTTCTGGTGCTTGCTGAACTGCTAATTCTAGAAGATCAAACACCAGTAAATCTGTAAATATTACAACAGATAGCAATAGCAATAGCACTTAGACGTATATACTACTTTACAGTGCTTTACAGCCCTCTCTAAATAGTTTACAGAGTCAGCCTTTTGCCCCCAACAATCTGGATCCTCATTTTATGACCTCGGAAGGACGGAAGGCTGAGTCAACCTTGAGCCTGGTGAGATTTGAACTGCCAAATTGCAGTCAACTGGCAGTCAGCAGAAGTAGCCTGCAGTACTGCATTCTAACCACTGCACCACCTCGATAATAACTGGGTATCAATATATAATCACTTAAATGATCAATAGCTACAATAATTCATTATACTACAGTATGTGTGATCATAAACAAGAACCACAACTGGCAGGGTTCCTTACCAGAATGTAGAATCTAAATTTAGCATTCTTCAAGACCTCTTAGCTTTTCAACTACCTAGCTACATTGTGAGTGAAAGCACACAAAGTTAGGAAAACAATCTCACAACATAAAGTCCCTTACATATGAACTAAAATCTGTGCTACAAAAGAGTGAATTAAAAATAATATTTTAGGTTAGGATGGGCAAAACATAGCCAGTCACTCTTGCTGAAGGACAACTTACATCATCCCTCTCAAATTTTGATCTTTGGGTTAAGGCACCAAGCTAGAAACTGGGAGATCGTGAGATCTAGTCCTACCTCATTGTTCCTTGTCTGGCCTTCAGATGCCTTGGAAAATAGGTTGTTTCCTTCCTCTCTCTGGCAGGCTCTCAAATATTGGAAAACTGCTATCATGTCATCCCTGGTCCTTCTCTTCACTAGACTAGCCATGCCCAGTTCTTGCAACCATTCTTGCAATGGGGAATGGAAGCAGGGATGGGATTCAAATTTTTTAACAACCGGTTCTGTGAGCGTGTCTTAGTTGGTGGGCGTGGCTTGATGGTCATGTGACCGGGTGGACGTGGCTTGGTGGTCATGTTATTGGCTGGGCATGGCCAACTCAATATCACTCGCATTGAGGCACACATCTCCTCGCCTGGCTTCTCATGAGTGTGGGGATGCTGCAACAGTTGCAAGTGTGAAAAAGGGTCATAAGTCACTTTTTTCAGTGCTATTGTAACTTTGAATGGTCACTCTATGCAAGCAAAGTACCAGCAAAGGAGGGGGAAAAAACTCCAGAGATGTTCCTGAGACAGGAAGTCTAGTCCTGCCAAGAATGTAATAAGGGTTAACGGAGAGGCAGTTTCTGTAAGCAACACCAGAATGTTCCCTTCCTGCCTTCCTTACAGGATTAGGCCAGTCATTTCATCTAACAACCGGTTCTCCAAACTGCTAAGAATGTTAACAACTGGTTCTAGCAAATAGGTGCGAACCTGTAGAATCCCACCCCTGAATGGAAGGATTTCAATTCCTTGCAATCATCTGGTCATTAGCAGTCTTTCTGAGAGTTGTGGAGGCCACTTGGAGGTTTATCTGTACTCTCAGAATCATCTGAATATTGCAAATGGATATGGAACCTTCTTGGAAATGCTGAAAGGACCGTATTGTAAAGAGGAGATGGATCAGGGGTGTCAAACTCAAAGCCCGGAGGCTGGATCTGGTGCATGGAGTGCTTTGAGCAGGCCCATGGGGTCACCCTGGAAACAGTGAAGGACTGGCCTGTGCCTCTGCCAGTGAAAATGGAGCTTGGGAGGCCCTCCCGACCTCTATTTTCACTGGCAGAGTGTTGCAGGGGGCCATTGCAGCCAAAAACGGAGCTCGGGAGCCCGTTTTCTCTGGCAGAGTACTTGGGCCACCACAGGTGAGGTGCCCCCAACACAAGTGACATCAAGCTGGCCACACCCACCCTAACCATGCCTACTCCAGCTCCCCGAGGTCAAACACAACCCTGATGTGGCCCTCAATGAAACTGAGTTTGACACCCCTGAGATAGAAGGTGACATATCCCTTCTGTTGAGAGTGGGCTGTCCAAATTTAATGTAGATGACCTCTTTCAAACCAGCAGTCCTGTCTGTCCAGAATGTGAACTTTGCTGCCTTTGCTGAAGGAGCTTCTTGGATGAGAAGTGAAACATTCTTCAAAGAAAAACAAAGGAAGTCCAGTTGCCTCTTGAAAAAGCACCTTTGGGACAACCATGATCTGAATGACTGAGAATCTCCATAGACATTAATGCTAGGACTTTAAAATCAAATATTGTGCTGCCATGTTTTCTGCTACAGATGGTAATTCTCCTCACCTTACATTGTTCCTTGGATTTTTTTTTTTTAAAGGGCAGGCAACTGCTCGTTATCTCTTACTAGCAGGGTACCCATGCTTCACTACGAAACGATGTGATCGGGTTTAGTTTTTGAGGAGGAAAATAAGGGGGAAAAATTCTGCCTCTGCCTACCAGCATCCATTAGTATTCATCTGGTGAGCATCCTATCAGTGTGTTTGGAAACTGAAACAGTATTTGCTGTGTGAACAAGAAGGATACAGCAGGGAGCCTGGGCGTGGCTTAGCTCAACTGTTCTGTACTAAAGCTTCTTGGTGCTGTGAAACTGAAACTGAAACCACTCCTCTACTTGTTTTTTTGCATTTGGAACAGATTTCTTTTCAGGGTGGGGAGGGGGAGTAGAACTCTTAGCATCAGAGCATGTTAATAATAATATAGGAAATACTAATGCTCTGAGGGTCATTTTGAAAAATCCTTTCTTAGTGAGCACCTAGAAGCCAAGAGGAACATCATGTCAACTAAAAAAAAATACTCCTTTGGTTTTCTTAGTTGCCAGCAGAAAGGGAGTGGGGGAAAGCAGTGCATTCCTTAAATGCCTTAGATAATCACCTTGGCAGCCCAAAGCTGTTCTCGTGCAAGAATATTACTGGAGAGCATGATTGATGATTCTTGGCTATGGATGTATCCCATTGGAGAATATACACCCAGGGGGTGGGGGAAAATGAATGATGTATTTTAGTGTTGACCGCACCCAGCTAATGCCAACATGGCCACTCCTAATAAATCAGTTTTTTTTTTAGCCTGATATGGCTAGAGACTTATGATTTGAATGGGGGTAGATTTGTTGGAGCCCTGACACATAAAATTTCAAGTTTGTAGGCTTTACGGTTCTGGAGATGTTGTGATGATGCATGAGCAATATTTTGCTTTTTTATATACTGTATATAGATTAGTCAGAAAACCATAGCCTTACCTTTATTCATGCTCAAAAGTGGCAAAGTAAATTGGCCAAGGAAGTCATTGGCAAGAACTGCCATCTGATCTTCTACCACAAAGCGTATTAAGGCAAGATCTGGAACTTGGACAGTAAAGGTGAATGTCTCATTCCATCTAGGGTTCAAAGCTGAAATAAACAGGAAAGAAAACTCGAGATATTTTTTTAAATATTGGGACTTCTGCAACAGCATTGAAAAAAGTGACTTATAACCTGATCCTTACACTTATGAACATGGCAACATCACCTTGGTCACTTGATCAAAATTCAGAAACTTGGTAACTGGCATGCATTTTTAATAGTTACATTAAAGATACCGATAGAGGAAAAGGTAATTGAAAAGAATATTTGAATGTGCAGAAATGAATAGATTAACACTAGAAATTAAAGAAAAAGAAGAATCTGAATATTGCATGGTATGGGACTTGTTTTATAAATGGCTAGAAAATAAAATTAATTAAAAGGGATTAGATGTATTTATAAAGCAATAAGAGAAACTAGTGTAATAGACATGCTTGAATATTACTTATATTATATATATATATGGGAATGTGATTATTATTATATTGTTAAGAAGAATATTATTAGTAATCGTTAAGCACATGAAATATGTACCTAATTGACACACGATTGAAATGGAATGGATTTATTGTATGTTAAAAATAAATTTAAAAAATTAATTAAAAATATATTTTTTAATGGTTACAGAATCCTGGGCTGATGTGATTACCAATTGCAACCTTCCCAGTTGGCTTCTGAGAAATGAAGTCAGTAGGGGAGTCAGATTTGTTTAATGGCCGCATGATTTGCTTACCAACTGTGCAAAAAAAGGTTGTAAAATTGAACGTGATTCAAATAACAACTGCCTTGGTTAGCATGGAAGTTTTGGTCCCATTATGGTTGTAAGTTAAGGACTACCTGTATTGTAATTTTTTCCCCTAATGCAGTACAGTTTTACACAATTATATCCTAATGTGCATTTCTTGATTCCAGGCAGTGGTGGTATTCATTTTTTTTTACTAGCGGATTTGTGGCTGTGGCTAGGTGGGTATGGTGTGGCTTGGTGGGCATGGCAGGGGAAGGATACTGTAAAATCTCCATTCCCTCCCCACCCCACTAACCTGCTTTCCTGCTCTGTTCTCTTGTGCAAGGTAACAAAAGAAGACCCAGCCAATCAGCTGGGACTCAGGAGGCAGAGAATAGATGGGGGTGGGGCCAGTCAGAAGTGGGATTTGCCGGTTCTCTGAGCTAATCAAAATTTCCGTTACCAGTTCTCCAGAACCTGTCAGAACTGGCTGAATACCACCTCTTTTCCCATCATATCCTTTTTTTCAAGGGGCTTCGTCTTAATTGGGGGGGGGGAGGGTTATGGATATTTTCCCTAATTTAGGTCTGCCTGAGGTACAAACTGCACTATACACTGAATGTCAATGTTGTATCAATGTTAAACTACTTTCATGGTGTGCATAACTTAAAGATTTATATTTATGGCTCATTATTCTGTTATTCTTTAAGACTCTTCAACTGCTTGGCACAACAACAAATAAGAACTTTGATCAGGGATTATTTAAATAAAATAACAGCAATCCCTCTTATTCCAAAATGTGTGACCTACTAGAATAACCAAATACCTATAAATTCATCAATTTTGATTGATGAATCAAATCATCTTCTCTGCTCATCATCCACATTTTAAAAAATAGGGATATCTTTGGAAATGTTACAAAAATAAACTTCTTCCATTGGTGAACACTATGTTTGTATAATGTTACAAACTTTGTATTGAAATATGATATATTACAATACAAAATAATGGCAATTGGGTTAAAATCAATCCTGTTACTGAAAGTTGCATACAAAAATGATGGTTATTAGTAGTAGCCATGCATTATACATATAGAATTCATTAGAAATTTAATGAATAAATAATAATTATAATTTTATTTGTAACAACAATGTATTGTTGTTAGTATGTAAACTTATGTATTGTAAATCATATGTATTTCAGAAAGTTCTGTGTAAACCATTTCCCCCCCCAAAAAAAATATGCATTTGAATACCCCATTAATAAAAAAACCTGAAGAACATTTGATGTAATAGAAAAAAATAAGTTAATATACGCAATATTGTAATTGACAGAATTTAGCGAGTTCCATGCATTCTTAACTCTGATAGGCTTTACAGATTATTGAATTAACTCTCACAACTTTCTATTTCATTCAACTTACCATTATTCTTTATGACAGAAGTCTGCCGTTTTGTCATATCCGCTGGAACACCATGAATTTCTATTTTGACTAAAGGATCAGCCTTGTTACTTTTGGAGAGATTACTTGGAGGCAGTTGATAGCCACTAATAATCTGGAGAAAAGACATGTATGTTGGTATGCATCCATATAGTCATGCTGGATTATATCGGTGCACAACTAATTATCCAACTATTGGAGGCACAAGAAGTCAGGAGCCAGGATGCAGTTCAAAAGAACTGTGGGTTTATTTCATGCTACCTATATAACAGAATCTGATCTACTAATGGTCAAGGCAAAAGTTTCTGGGTGTTACCATAAAAGATGACCTGACCTGGGGTGCTCACATTGCAGCACTGGTCAAAAGGGCCCAGCAGAGATGAAAACTTCTCAGAAAACAACAACTGAATGAAAAACTGCTGGTGACCTTCTACCACTGCACCATAGAGAGTATCTTAACTTCCTGCACCTGTGTATGATTTGCCAATTGCACAGTGGCAGATAGGACAGCACTCCAGAGGATTAACGTCATTGCCCAGAAGATCGTTGATTGCCCTCTCCCCTCTTTGGAAGAGCTTTATAGTTTCTACTACCTTAAGAAAGCTCAAAACATTCTCAAAGATCCATCTCATCCTGGGAACCCCTTTTTTTGAACTATTACCATCTGGCAGACGGTACAGGATAATAAAAACAAGGACCAATAGGCTGAAAAACAACTTCTATCCCAGGGCAGTAACTCTGTTGAATTCTACTGTATAGTGTAGTGTTGGTGAGGTATTGGAAGTTTTCAATTCAATGTGTGGAGTGTGAAGGATGTGTGTTTGTGTTTATTTTCATGGTCATGATAGGCACTAAAGATGGTGTTTGATTTCATTGTATGAGGTGCAATGACAATAAAGTAAACGAAATGGCACCAGATAACAGACTTCAAGGGGATGGGATTTAAATCTCTTATGGGGGCATACTCTTGTGGGGGCATTTCCAACTGCAGTTGCTAAATGAGGACCACCTATATAATAATATTTAGCTTTGAAACATGATTTGAAACTTGAAACTTGATTCAAGACTCCAAATTGATTCTGCATTTACCTGACCCTTGAGCTCAGATTGGTCATCTCCTACAATTGCACAATGCTGGGTATTTTCATACATGAATAGACATCCCCTCCCACCAGCCATGTGAAGATAAAAGTGAACCCAGAATTCACCTAATCAAGAGTTCCTTCCTCCCTCTGCTTTCTGCAAGGGAGAGTTTGGTGGATATCATGGTATCTGGGAATGACTTTGGGAGACAGGGCAAAGAGACACAACCAAGGGAACAGATAAATGCAAGGTAGCTGAGCCCACTGCAGGAATGTGGGGAAGATAAGAGACTCAGAAGAAACCCTCCCTAGTTTCATAGGCTGTAAAGACGATAGGAGGGGAGAAGCACTTTCAGACTTTAATGTAACTTTACAATAAAGGTTGTTCATCTGATATTCATGTTTTGTATCTGTTCTACTGTATAAGACTGACAACAGTCTTGCAAGTCTCTTGCTGAAAACTTGCCCCACCCATATTCCTAATTTAGGGGACAGTTCATCCACATCACCACCCCCTTAGCTATTGTTTTTCAACACTGGGATAGGCATTTGGTCCAGAGGTGGTATTCAGCAGGTTCTGACCAGTTCTGGAGAACCGGTAGCGGAAATTTGGAGTAGTTCAGAGAACCGGTAAATACCACCTCTGACTGGCCCTGCCCCATCTATTCTCTGCCTCCTGAGTCCCAGCTGATCAGCTGGGTCTTCTTTTGTTGCCCTGCACAGGAGAACGGAGCTAGAAAGCAGATTAGTGGGGGTGGGGAGGGAATGGGGATTTCACAGTAACCTTCCCCTGCAATGCCCATCAAGCCACGCCCACAGAACTGGTAGTAAAAAAAATTTGAATCCCACCACTGGTTTGATCCTCATAAAACTGGATGCAGTGAGGTATTAGGTTGTAGGTTCATTGATCCCACAGCTCTCTGTATTTCTCAAATCATGCAAACTATTTTTAATGGTTTATTTAAATGGTAGATTAAGGTTGATTTATCTTGCAGTCTGTTTTTTTATACTTTATACTGTTTTATTGTTGTAAGTTGATACAATATCAAATGATCGGCCTTCCACACATTTTTTGAATCACGTTTCAAGTTTTAAATCATATTTCAAGGTGGTTCTCATTTAGGGACAACAATTGGGAATGATAACTAAGTCAATAAACAAAGTGATTGCTAAGTGAAAGCTGACAAACTTACTTCAGCTTTCCTTTAGTTTTCAGACCTGTGAAGTTGTTAATGTGTGGATTGATCATAAAATTGCTCATCACTGTCCACAAATGGTCACTAAATAAGACAATTACTAAACGAGGCAGTCTCTGAAGTAGAATACGTCTAAGTGGATACTCTATTTTCATTTGGGCTGAGATGATTTAATTTTGCATATAATGTGGTTCTCAGTGATGTTATAATCTTCAAACCTCCCAAGTCTTTCATGTTTTAACAATTAGTTCAATATATTCTAAGAAGGTTGTACTCTGGAATCAATGTTATAGAAAAACTCATCGACTCTGACAACAGGATTGCTTTATTAAATGATGTGGAAAGGAGAAAATATTCATGATACATGATTTAATTGTTTAAAACAAAAATAAACATAAAAATAATACAAAATGAATCCAACACAGGAACATCCTGAACCAAAAAGTATGTTTCATAAAATAGATGGATATATGACCATGTAGTAGTTCAATGGTACACACCACCTGTTGGCTATTCTTCTTGAAATAATTGCCTGAAATAATTCAATATGATTTTTGTTTTAAATGTGATTCTTCAAAATACTCTTCAATGGAGTTTTGGAATTGTGCATACAACAGAATAATAGGGTTGGAAGGGACCTTGGAGTCTTCTAGTCCAGGAGTCTCCAACCTTGGCAACTTTAAGACTTGTGGACTTCAACTCCCAGAATTCTGGGAGTTGAAGTCCACAAGTCTTAAAGTTGCCAAAGTTGGAAACCCCTATTCTAGTCTAGTCCCCTGTATCATTCCAAACACATAGCTGTCCAGTCTCTTGTTGGATACCTTGAGTGACGGAGCACTCAGAAATTCTGGAGGTAATGCATTCCACTGGTTAATTGCTCTCACTGTCAGGAAATTTCTTTTTAGTTCCAGGTTTGATCTCTAATGATCTTCCACCCATTACTTCTAGTCTCGGGTGCTTTGGAGACTAGTCAACCCTCAGGTACTGGAAGACTTGATCACATGATCCCTAGTCCTTCTGTTCATTAGACTAGACATACCTAGTTCCCTCGATTGTTCATAATATGGTTTAGCATCCTGTTCCCCCTCCCCCCCAATAGTCTTTCTTGCTCTTCTGTATGTTCCTTCTATAGTCTCAACATCTTTTTGTGTTGTGGTCATCAGAACTGGATGCAGTATTCCAAGTGTGGTCTCACCACTGCAGTGTAAAGCATACAATTCTTCAGAAGTTGATCATAAGCTTCTTAAGAAGATCAGCAAAAGTAGAGAAATTATTTTGAGAGAAAATACCCTAAGGTCCTTTGCCTACTGCAGAGATAAAAAGCTGTGTGCCCATCCCTGAGTAAATAAATAAGTACCAGAATGAAAATGAGTTGTCGCCATTGCTACTTCCTATCTGGCCTCTAATGCCTCAATTCCCAGTCACTGACAGTCATCTGATAGCCTTCATAGGTCAAAAAAGCCAAACGGATTTTGCACACACGGAGATTGTCCTTAGATAGGACTGGAATAAGGTAGAAGAATATGGACCAATACTGATAAGGATGACAGTCTCACTGGTGGCCAGGATGAGACAAAAGCAGGAGGGTTAAGAGGAAGCCAAGCAGTTTTGTGGTATAGATAGGGGCAAGTGAGGAACAGCCATCTACTTGGAACTCCCAACATCTGTCAGCCAGATGTTTCTGAGAAGCCCATCAATTACATGAATCCAGAAGACATCTTCTGTTCTCGGTCTTCTATACCAGGAATATACTGCTTTTCAACGTAAAGCCTTTTCTTAAAAATACCTGTTGAGAATCCAATTCTCCAAGACTTTATTTAATCTCCTATACTGGTGTCCTTCTCCAGTCTTGATGGTGATGAACTCCAAAATTAAAAATGCATTCAGTGAAAGAACACTTCTTTTTTAAAAATTATCTTGAATGGATTGCCTATCAATTTAACTAAATTGGGATTGTGCGTGCAGGATAAAAATTCTAGGATGAGTTCTAGAATGGCATTTAATAAATGATTGAAGCAACATTTTATGCAAGCCTGGCAACTGAACACTTACTCCTAACCAGATGAATGAATGGTTCTGCAACCCAACAGGACAGACACAGACTTCAGAGGATAATTAGGACTGCAGAAAAAAAAAAAAACAATTACTACCAACCTGCCTTCAATCAAAGCAAAGCCATCCACTGGTAAGGAATTAGTGATCTTTTCCTTGTGACAATTCTTCATTATCTGGATGCTTTACAACATGGTGAGGGCAAATATGCTAACTAAAATCTATTCCTCTACTTTCCAAAGAATTAAATGTCGGCTTAATAAATGTATAGGCCTATTCTCCAAACCCGAGGGCAGAACAAGAAGTAACATATGGAAGCTTATCAAAGAGAGATCCAATCTAGAATTAGGCTGAGAGTGAGAGCAGTTAATCAGTGGAATGGCTTGCCTCCAGAAGTTGTGGGTTCTCCATCACAGGAGGCTTCTAAGAAAAGATTGGACAGCCATTTGTCTGGGTCTCCTGCCTGAGCAGGGGTTTGGACCAGAGATCCCTTCCAACTCTGTTGTTCTCTAGTCTATGGGTCTATTCAGGAGAAGAGAATCCTGGGAAAGAGATGTCAGGTGTATTTTTGAAGGCAACGTAGGCCTTCAAATGACAGCTTAACTGTAGAAGTATAACTTTCTCAGACTTTTCTAGTCAAATGTTTTAGTGGTAGCTGAGTTCATGAGATCAAGGAATTGTTCCTTAGATAGGTTGAAGTTTCCATGAAACTGTCTTACCTTTATTGTTAGCGTAATGGGATTATACTTATCAGTAACGTTAAATGGGTCAAAAGCAGAGTCTCTCCTTCTTAAGAATTCTGGTTTCACAAGGTAACCAGAGCCTCCATTGTCCAAAAATTTTCCAATGAGTAAATCCATCTGCACACCCGGTGTTTGGAAATTTAAGGCCACTGTAGGAAAAAAAAAAAAATTAAAGCAAAACATATTTCTCTTTTTCAAATATTTTTTAAATTTCATTTCCAAAGTTAAAATACAAACTTCAGAGAGAGAAAAGGAAACAAAAACAAATCAAACTAAGAAAAACAATTAATTGTGCAAAAAACAAAGAAATTATACATAAATTATCTCCCCTAGTTGAATACTAATGAATATATTTCAACAGTAATAGTCCCATATCCCTACTCTTGCAAAACAGGTCTATAATTTATAAACTCCCCAGCTATTTACCCAGATAATTGACCTACAATCAATCTACTGTAAAAAAAAAAAAAAGTTAATAGGTAATTGACAAAAGCCTAAACTTCAAAACACCCTGTTAATAATCTATAATTGTATTTCATATGCAGAAAGTCCACAACAGTTTTTAACCTACCATAAATCCCTGTAGTTATTCTCTCTGAATTATCCAAGATCAAATATCTTTAATTGATTCTTAATAATATTTTTTTTTCCCTTAGAATTATAATTGAGATATTTCCAAACAATTGCGTTGTGACCTAGGCTTCCCAAGATCATGAAGCAGACTCCTCGTCCCGATAAAACCCTTTTTTATTTAGGTTAAAGTGAATTCCTCTCCAGCAAAGTCCTGGCAAACAGTCTTTCATGAGATTTCACAACTACAGACCTTTATCATGCTTGGAGAGTTGCCAGGCCAAGATCTTTCAAATGCCACGTGTTTGAAAATGACTTGGCAAGAAGTCAGGAACAGATCTTCACCCTAATGAATTGAACTAATTGTCTCTTGCAAACCCCACTCCCCTTTCACTCCTCTTTATTCCCTATGGGAGGGGCCATTCACCATCCACCTGTGTCCTTACTCCTGATTTGTCAGCATAGGAATCCAAAGGGCTGGAATGAAGGAAGCGAGGTCAGTGGGGAAATCACCATAAAGATCATCATCAAAGAGAAATGGCCTACAGGAGGAAACAGAAATGGCCTAGGGGGAACATTTTCAAGTGGTGAGGTAAGGGGCTGCCATAAAGAAGAGGGGATCAACCTATCCTCCAAAGTATCCGAAGGTAGAACAAGAAGCAGTGGATGGAAACTAATCAAGAAGAGAACCAACCTAGAAATAAGAAGACATTTCCTGATAGTGAGAACAATTGATCAGTGGGGTTGCCTTCAGAAGTTGTGGGTGCTCCATCACTGGAACCTTTTAAGAAGAGATTCTTGAGAAGGAAGTTGCACTAGAAAACCTCCAACCTCCTCTGTTATTCTGGGGGATTCTCATCCCACCAGCCTAAGAGTCATCTGTATGGGGATGTAGGATCAAGTGTCCTTCACTTGATCCTACATACTTGATTGGGCTTGCAATTGCTTGTTTATTTTGGAGTACTCTTCCAAGATTCATTGTGTCTCCTTTCCTTATTTTTGGCCTTGAATATAAATGTTGGATTGGAAGGGTTAGATTTCATGTTGAATCAGGCAAGGGGAGGGAATGGCTAAAAATAATAGTTCCCTATCAAAATAATAGGTTCCTATCAAATCATCATGCCTCCAAAGGAAACCACTCTCTGATTGAGATCCTTTGTTTCAATTCGTAAAAGAACTGAAGTCACTCCTTCCCTAGGTATTAATATTTTGTGCTGGTGCCTCTGTTGGTATTTCACAAACATCCAATTTTCTGCAAGACAGGCTTCCCTAGTCCTGAGCAACGTACAATTAATGTTCTTTTCATGCTAGGAAAAGGTGCACGAGTATACAGTGCATTTCATCAAAGCTTTTGGTGTTACAGAGTTCATATCATAAAATAGAATGATTTGTCTTTTGTTATACATTACAGCAAGACCATTAAGAATGAAAATAAAGCAATGATTGCTGAACACAACAGGAAAGGGTGGCATTTACCTGTCACCCTCTTCTCAGGCAAGACTCCCACCAGCTGCTGTAGATACTATAAAAAACAGGGGTCTGATTCCACACAATAAGTTTATTGCTCTTGTGTGCATGTGTGCTTTAAGTCAGTGTTGACTTCTGGGAACTGCCTGAACAGGTCCCTTGGCAACATTTTGGAGTGGTTTGCCCTTGTTTACTTCCTATGGCTTAAAGAGAATGACCCGTCTAAGGTCACCTTGATGGCTTCATGCATCAGGTGGGATTAGAATTCACAACCTCCCAGTTTCTAGTTTGATATCTTAATCACTGTATCAGACTGGCTCTCCTTCCCTTTATGCGAAAGAAACAAGGATAAATACAGCTGTTTAGATGAGACCTGAACCCTAGTATTACCACCTCAGAACTACTGTTGCAGAAAGCGAACATCAGGAGATGTTAATTTTCTCACAACGGTATATTTGCTAGAATCAGAACAATCCCTGGATCAAATTTTTCTACCATGATACGCTTCTGGGACAGTGGACTTCATTTCCCAGAATTCTAAGTTAACTTGGAAAACATGAAAGGGGAGAAGTCAAATGTGGATCCTTCCAATTGCTTTCTTTGTTATTCTGAGTAGAATAATCGTAACCCTAGCTGTCTCCTCTTTTGCACTTGCTTTCAGTCTTCTCCAGCATCAGAGTCTTTTCAGAAGAGTTCTCTATTCTCATTTGCTGGCCAAAATATTTGAGCTCCAGCTTCGGTATTTGTCTTTCCAAAGGACAGTCAGGATAGATTTGCTTTAGGGTTGATTGATTTGAACTCCATGTGCAGTGATGCCATTGTGCAACATTGCCTTTACTTATTTGCATTTCAATAGTCAATGCAATGGTCAATGTATGTAGACGGCAGAATTTGTGTGATGATGGTTGCTGTGCCTATTTCTTAACCACCACCACCCAACCAGCTTCTTCGCAGACACCTCTGAGTCCAGTGTACTTATATTCTTGTCTTCAAAGATAGCTTTTCACAGTTAGAAATGCACATAAAAGCTTCAACTCAGCCTAAGTTTCAATATTAATTTGTTCACATAATGAGATTGGTCTCATCTCTCTGCCCATTCTCACTGCTCCTCTAGATCCTGACTTATCATAACAGAATACAGATTTCATGTGAACTCAGCCAACTGTAATTAACTAAATAAACAAATCACAGCTTAATGGGATGTGTGAAGTAAGATATCCGGGCTCCACTGTCCTTGTGAACTTTTAGGTCTCCTTAGCAATAACCCACAGTTGTACCTAACGGTTGTTCAATATTTTTGCCCACTTTTCAAACAATTACTGTCTACCAAAGTGGCACAAATCATAAAATAGAAGTCCTGCCTTTTGAAAGGTGAAGTATTCAATGAGTGTGCTTTTGTGTATGAGAGTGAGAGACATCACATTCCTAAGAGCAGAAATCTCTCACTTGAACAATCATGAGTGAAGTAAAGTTGATAACAAAACCACAAAGATTTACCATACTTCCTGGAAATTAATTATTGACCTAAGCAAAGCCTACCACCTTATTAACTGCCTCCTGCCAGGAGGAGAGTCAAATAGCATATGTTCCGTGCTTTTGATTTGAGAATTAAGGCAGAAGGAAGTGACCTCACACTAGCAATCTCCTCAGTCACCATTTCATAACTGGGCAGGTTCATGATGTGTAGACTTCCCCAACCAACAGAGACGTTGCTAAGAATTTTGGGAGTTGAAGTCCACTCATCATAAAGTTGTCCAGATTGGGAAATATTATCGTAGACAAAGAACAGGAGCGATAAGTAAAAAGGAAACATGGGATAAATCTAAATTCTATTTCCCCCTTTTGGTCACTAGATTATGAGGTACTGAAGAGAAGGGTCCACAGGAATTGGACCTCCAAAACTGCCATCATGCTTATTCTGTCTTCTTCTCTTAGCCCTGATGATTCTTTCTGGAATAATTGAATACCAATCTACTGTATTTTGGCTCCAATGATAATTTTCCCAATGTAAATCTGGTCTTGTCCCATTCACACAGCATGGCAGATTTGGTTAGAATCTAAAGGACCTACCCAGCTGGCTTCCGACATTCCAAAATTCTTGAGGATCATAATTTGAAGAGTCTGTTCTGGTTCCCTTGGGATAGATTCTTGTAAGGAAGCGGACGGTGTGTGAGACAAAATCAGGAGCTGCAAAAAGAAATAGAAAAAAAAGGCATGTTCAAAATGTTATTGCACAGAAATATGCCTAACTTTTGTTTGGTTACTGCTATGTTGCTCTATATTATTGGTTCACTGCTTCTTTTATTGCTTCTTTTATTATGCATATTCTTGCATAGTTTCAAGGAATGCTGTTCTCAACTGTTTTGACCTACTTTCTGAGGGTTGTTGTGTTTTTTTTCTGCAATGAGAAGCAATATGTAAATATTTAAAATAAAATAAATAAGTGTGGAAAAGGCTACAGACAATTTTAAAACAGCAAATAAAACAAGCTGACAATATTTTAAAAGGGCGATTATATATGCCGACAACAAATTTGCAATATGTATTTATGCTGCATGCCTTTTGGGAGGAAGAGGGTACCAGAGCCAGTTTGTGGTAGTAGTTAAAGGCAGCAGTCTAGAAACTTGGGCACTGTGAATTTTAGTTCTTCCTTAAGCATGAAAGACATCTGGATGACTTTGGGCCAATCATTAGGTGTCTGTGAGTTCTAATCCTATTTTCGGCAGAAAAGCCTAAAATCTTGGTGACTTTGGATCAATCACCAGGAGACTGTGAATTCTAGTCCTGCCTTAGACATAAAACTCAAGCTGTGTGACCTTGCGACAGCCACTCTGTCATGCCCCTGTTGGAGTCTGAAGCCAGGAGGAAGCCAAACAGCTGACAGGGAGTGGGAGTATGGCTCTGTTGGCTGTGGCTGGGCAGAACAGGGAAGAGGTAGAACAAAGGAGAGAGAATTCAGAGGAAGACTCAGGCCCGCCCCCCTCTTCATCCTAGGGCATGCAGGGAGGAATGGAGAAGAGAGCAACATGGGTTGCATGGCTTACGGGGGAGGAAAGGGCCCTGATTCACTTCATCAGCTGCAGCTGGAAATGCAGTTTATAAAAAAGGCAAGTTGTGTGCGGCAAGTTGTTGGGAGCAAACATGACTTTATCTTGTATTGTCTTGGCTTATCTGTGCTCCTGGCACCTTTCCAACTATGTGAGTTTTGCTGTGCTTTCAAGCCTGAAATTCTTGTTCTAATTACTTCAGTTTGGCTTGTTTGGACTTTATGTTATATTTTGTGTTTACTCTGTTTTGGAGTGAATTTTCTGCAGTTAAATGCTGTTACTGGGAGAATTTTTTCTCCAGCCAAAAGGTAACCTGGACATTGGGGGCAAAGTTGGAGATAATAAAGGGACTTCTGATTATATGACTGTGTTGCCTTTGTGCCATGCCCCGGGTCATCACACACACTCTCTCAGCTCTGGGAAAGGCAAATCACTTCCAAAAATCTTGACAAGTAAATTGCAGTCACTAATCCAGGCATCAGAAGGAGTCAACAATGACTCAAGGGCTCAATATACCTGAAAATAATTTAGCCACGAAGAAGCTAGATTGATTTAGCAACAATTAAGAGAATTTCAGGAGAATAGCCATAGGTCTTCTTGCACTTCCTTGTCTCTAAGTTGACCAAGGGTAAATGTGAGCAGTCAACCTGTCTTCTCATGATTTCATTAAAGCCCAAAAGGAAACTCTTCCTATTATTCCTTTGAGGGGTTTTTTTTTTAAGTAAGAGTGCCATCCTCAGTAAGGAGGGGTCTGATATTGATGGAGAATATCTCCTTTTCCTGAGGAAATTCAGATAAATTGCCCACCCAATTTCTCTTTCTTTACATTTGCTGGATAATTTCAAAAAGGTCAACTATCCTGGCAGCCAACTTTCTCAAATATTTTGCTTTGAATCAAATCTCTGCAAGCTTTATGGACCACATTCTGTGCGAACATCCATTTCAAAACAAGAAAAATGACATGATTAAGCCAACTGTTGAAAGTTCTATTTGCAAGATTTATTCCAGTTTAGGTAGTAGGAAGGAGGGAGGTAGATAAATTGAGAAGTCTTGAGGTTACATCTACTGTAAATATCAGACAGTAGAATATATTTCTGTCTTGATGGGTTAGGTGGCAAAGTCTAACTGACTTGCTTGATCATAAAAAAAAAAATGGTGTAGGGTCAGTCCTGGTTAGCATTTAGATGGAAAGCAGTGGGAAATCTCAGGACAGGAGGCTAGATTGAGAAGTAAACAAAAAAAAAAAGTGGAGGCACTGAAAAACCACATCACTGTGGTTATCCACTACGATTACGTGGAAGTGTCTATGAAATCCCAGAGTTAAATTTGGCACAAAAGTATCTTTATAAAGTAAAGGTAATGGTTCCATTCGCACATAAGTGCTACTCATTTCTGGCTCTAGGGGCAGTGCTCATCTCCATTTCACAGCTGAAGAGCCAGCGCTGTCCGAAGACATCTCCATGGTCATGTGGCCAGCATGACTAAACACTGAAGGTGCACGAAACATTATTACCTTCTCACCAAAGTGGTCCCTATTTTTCTACTTGCATTTTTACATGCTTTTGAACTGCGAGGCTGGCAGAAGCCAGGACAAGTAATGGGAGCTCACTCCGTTATGCGGTGCTAGGGATTTGAAACACTGAACTGCCAAACTTTCTGATTGACAAGCTCAGCATCTTAGCCACTGAGCCACCAGGTTCCTTATCTATCTCTATCTATCTCTATCTCTCTAGGTAGAGATGGAGATAGAGATAGAGATCCAGGGATGGGATTCAACCGGTGTTACTACCAGTTCGGTGAAAGTTGTGCATGTGTAGTGTCTGCTGCTCTTCAGAGCTACCGATTCTATAGAACCGGGCTGAACCAGTAGCATCCCACCCCTATATATATCCATATAATACATCGAAAAGCTTCATAAATTAACACAAGTCATTTTTATTCTCAAGGACATTTTGAAAACTACACTGCCTCCAAAATAAATAGAGAAATATGCAGCTCGCTTAAATATTAGTTGATGGTTGAAACGTTTACATTACCTCTCCGGCTGATGAGCTTCTGACCTTTCACTTCTCCGATGGAATTATTCTGGTAGCATTTCTGCTTCTCCTTGGAATCCTCAAAGCTGACAAACTTCCGAGAAGCAGTATAAATCACAAGTTCAGAAAGGAGTAAAGCCACTTTGACTTTATGGCCCTAAGAACAGAGATTGACAAATGTTTACTGTGCGGTGTCAAGTTTAAGTACTTGACAAGATTGGGAAGACAGTGTAGTTTCTAGGTGGACACATTCTTCAGTCTCTTCCCATTCTGTTTGAACAAAAGAGAACGTGCAAAGGTCTATCTTTAGATCAAGAAGGTCTCAGGATAATGGGATCATTGCACCTAAAATGTTCTGGACCACGCCCTTGTGCCTCAGACATGTGTTGTTTTTTTTCTATAGAAGATGCTTTAATGGAATTATCCAGGATGGATTCTGGCAGACATGTCTGTACCAGGGGATTAGGTGGGGTGCTAAAGAGTGAAGCAGTTTTGTAGTGTTGTGATAGAAGCTTCACCCCATGCGTACATGCGTTGTGATGTCAATTTTATGCATGTACGAAAGAGGTGGAATTTCCATTGGAACAGCATAGCTGCCTTGGTGGTATCTTGGCAGCAAACGTGGTGATGATGTGAACCTGAACTGGTTACTGCAAAACACTTCATGGGTGCTTTCAGACCCTTTACTGACCTGGCAATTGTGCTGCTTTAACTTCTCAGGAGAAATAGGGGGCTGCCTTTCTAAACATAGACATTCTCTTCCCATTTTTTTTTTAAAAATGAGTAGTTTTCTGTTTATGAGCTACATGTGTGAACCTGAAATCATGCAAAACATCCTGAGTTGGTTCTGTTTGAAAGAAACCAGCACAACAATATTTTCTGGCAGAGTGGGTGACCTATAGTGCCAGGCTGTAGGGTGTCATGCCCCTGTCAGAATCTGATTGGGGGGAGCCAAGCAACTGACAGGGAGTGGGAGTGTGGCTCCATTGGCTGTGGAAAAAATGGGAAGGGTGCAGAGCAGGTGAGAGGTAGAACAAGGGAGATGGAATTCAGAAGAAGACCCAGGCCCATCCCCTCTTCATCCTAGGGCACACAGGGAGGAATGGAGAAGGGAGCAATGTGAGTTGTGTGGCTTATGGGGGAGGAAAGGGCCCTGATTCCCTTCATTAGCTGTATCTGGGAACACAGTGTTTGAAATGGGAAAATGAACACAGCAAAGTGTTGGGAGCAAATCATGAGTTTATCTGGTCTCGTCATGGCTGACCATGAGAGAGAACAAGGATATCTCAATGGCCGTGTTTCCCAACCTTAACAACTTGAAGACTTCAATTCCCAGAATTCCCCAGCTGGAATTCTTTCATAATGGCTTCATTAGGCTTTTTTTCACATATTGAGACTTTAATGTTTTGGAAATCAGTCCTTGCAGTTTCGTATCCAGCTAGTTGGGCCTGCAAGTGTTTGAGAAAAGCCTTACATCTGTTTTCTGTTCTGACCCAAGCCTTGTTCAAATCAAACAAACACAAAGTATGTATAAAAACAAACCTTTTTAATGCAGCGCTGTGAATTCTGTTCATTCACAGCTAAGAGTCATTCAAAACTAATGGTTCCAGATAAGAGTAAGCCCTTTCAAGGTTGTGAAAGGCTAACAAAAACAAAAGATTAATTGCAGATAAATATCCCAAGTCAGAAGTTTCCAAAAACAGATCGGAGGACAAGAACTCTGAGCATAAAGAACTTCTTTGCTTCCTGCAAAGAAGCCAACCCTGAGGGCTGGCTTTTATCCCTTATGGGAGGAGCCATCACCTTCCAGCCTTACTCCCAAGTTGCCCGTGCTGCTTCATCTGGTCTTTCCTTCGAGCAGCCCTGTGCACCTGTGCACATGTGCACTGGGCCCAGGCTCCCTAGAGTCCTCTTCATTACTGCTGCCAGACTCCACGACCTCCGAAGGCAGCACCTCACTCTCCGATAGCCCTGGCCCCAGCCCTGTATCAAATGTAGGCCCCTCATCTGAATTCTTGCTCTCAGAGACTGCTGCTGTCTGCCAATGAACCACAACATTTTCTTATTTTGAAAGGATCTGGGCAACATTGCTGTGGATGATGGCCCTTGGCTTACCTTTCCCTTGTCTTTTTTAATGGGCTTCCGAATGAGCGCTTTCTTTAGCATGTGTCCAGCACCTTCATCATCTTCATCTTCTGACTCCAGGGTATCCTCGGTTTCTTCTGTAAGGCCCTGGTATGCCTGACCCCTCCGATTAAGGGTGTCTTGGAGTGATCCAGCTTTCTTATTTTTGATCAGGATCTTTAATTTCAATTGCTAGGAAGAGGAAAAGGTGCACTCATTCAGTATGGTAAGCTACAAAACTAAATGGTAAGGATAGTTAAAATAAGTTTCTACTTTGATGAAAAGAAAGACTATGGATGATATGATAGCAGTGTTCCAATATCTGAGAGGCTGCCACAAAGAAGAGGGGGTCAAGCTATTCTCCAAAGCACCTGAGGGCAGGACAAGAAACAACTGGAAATTAATCAAGGAGAGAAGCAACCTAGAACTAAGGAGGAATTTCTTGACAGTGAGAACAATTAACCAGTGGAACAACTTGGCTCAAGAAGTAGTGAGTGCTCCAACACTGGAAGTTTTTAAAAAGAGATTAGACAATCCTTTGTCTGGAATGATTATAGGGTTTCCTGCCTGAGTGCTAGAAGACCTCAAAGGCAGTGGTGGGATTCAACCAGTGTTACTATTGGTTCGGTGACAGTGTGTTTTGCATGCGCATGCACAACATTTCCAAAATACCTCAGTTGTGCCACCTGGACAGTTGGCAAGCGCTATGCTCAGGTGTACAGCGTTTGAAAAGCCTCTTCTTTCTTGCTTTTTCAACCTCAGCTGTGCCGTGCAAAGCAGCTGAAGTTGAAAAAGCAGGAAATAAAGGACAGCCAAGAGCCCGGATGGGCAGCTAGGCCAAACAGACGAACAAAAGATTGTTGCAGCAAACCAGTTCAGTGTCTGCTGCTCTTCAGAGCTACCGGTTCTATAGAACCAGGCCAAACCGGTAGTATCCCACCCCTGCTCTAAGGTCCCTTCCAATTCTGTTATTCTTATCTTCCATCCTAGGAAAATATTCAACAAGCAAATACAGGAGGGCTTCACACATCACGTTAAGTAGCAAATAAAACCACTTGTGGCCTAGTACAGCATGTGAATTTGGTCTGTGTAAGTTGGCACCATGCAGTGGTGGGATTCAAATTCTTTACTACCGGTTCTGTGGGCGTGGCTTGGTGGGCATGGCAGGGGAAGGATACTGCAAAATCCCATTCCCTCCCAACCCCATTAACTTACTTTCCAGTTCTGTTCTCCTGTGCAGGGCAACAAAAGAAGATCCAGCCAATCAGCTGGGACTTGGGAGGCAGAGAATAGATGGGGGCGGGGACAGTCAGAGATGGGATTTGCCAGTTCTCCAAATGACTCAAAATTTCCACTACCGGTTCTCCAGAAGTGGTCAGAACCTGCTGAATACCGCCTCTGGCACCATGATAGGGATTGTACATCGTCCAGACCCATTTTTCAAACTTCAAAAGCCATTCAAATAGCAGCATTCAAGTCAGGAATGGCTCTGATATCTCAATTGAATCTGTCCCAAGGCAGCCAAGCAAATGTAGATATCATGGCTCTACACCAATCCATACATGCCTGCCATGGGATTCATATGTCAATAAGCATAAATAATGCTCCTGCAACACCAATAATCACAACTGTCATGTCATCACTGGCACAAGGCATCTCAGTCTCTTAGCTATCAAGTCACGTATGTGAGCACTATCACAAAAGTCTGCAGACATCTATCCCTCAGCAAATGGTGACAATTAGCCAGCTTAGGTCTCACAAAAGCTAAGCAGAGTTGAACTTAGCATTTATAGAGGAGATCACCAAGGACATTCAAGGGCTGTGGGACCAGATTTGGAAATTGACAACAGATCATGGGAGGAAACAGTAACATATACTTCAAAATGGTTATCTCAAAACAATAAGGATTTCTCCATTTACGGAGACTCTTCAATTTACAAGCATTCATTTAGCAAGCATTTGAAGTTACAATGCCCTGGGGGGAAAAAGTGACTTAGGATCATCCCCACAGTGACGGGATCAAAATTTGAGTTTTTGGCAACCATCAGGTATTTGCAACAGTTGTAATATCCTGGGGTTAACTTTCTAGCCAGCTTCCCACGAGCAAAGTCCCCAGGGAAAGATTTTACCTCTGGGGAGGGTAACTCTGATGGCACAGCATTGTCAATGGTTGTAGTACACAAACTATCCTGGAGGATGTCGAGAAGATGAGCTGCCATCCTTTCCTGCTGCGGAGGGCTGCAGTGATTTTCCAGTGACAAAATGATGGGGTAATCTGAAGCCTGAAAATAAATTGAAGAGGTTATATAGGTAGATATGTTGCATAATTACAACATATAGAGACCAACAAAGGCTATGCCCATAAGTTTGCATACATTTCCTAGTTTTAGCTCTTTAGCCTTCCATGTTATTGTCATTTCAATTTATGGAGCCTTTTAATTTTACACCATACTATTCTAGTCTCGTATTTATAATACAGTAGTTTAAATATAGATAGACAATAGACAATAGAATTCTTTATTGGCCAAGTGTGATTAGAGGAATGAATTTGTCTTGGTGTAAATACGCTCAGTATACATAAAAGAAAAGACACAATCATCAAGAGTAGAGAATCATAATGTAAGTGATGCAATGATTTTAGGCTTCATATCAGCTATTTTAAATCATATTTAAAATGGTTTAGGTGGTTTATGTTTCTATAACACTTTTCTATGTTTCTGCATTTTAATTGTACTCTGGCCAGAGTAGCTCTGCTATGGGATGGGCAATCTTCACTTGATGTATAAATAAATAAAAATATTTACTTGTTATCCCAGTTTTATCCAGACTGTATACATCTCTGCCTTTCACACTCTTGTCTTCATAACCTTCACCTTAATATCTTAATGGTATCGGTATCAACATTTTATAGTTTGTGATTTAAATTTTAGGTATTTGTTATATAGATTAGATTGTTACAATAGGACTGTTGTGATTTTATCTGTGAATGTTATGTGAGTCAATGACCAAAATAAAAGTTATTGCTACTAAAACATATAAGAGGTTTTACACTGATTTATTTCTAAAGATAAGGAGGTCCATGCTGTCATATTGAGGGGATGTAATAGATACAAATTGATCGAAAGGAACTTCTTTGAATTTTTTTCTTTCTTTTCTATTTTTCTTCTACTTTTTTCTGCCCCTTTCTTGCATTTTAACTTTTTAAATTTCTTTTGTTTTTCTTTAGTTTGTATTGATCTGTATCTTCCTTTAAAAGAAATTAAATTATATTTTAAAAAATAGGTTGATCCTATTCCCCAACCAGCTCTATAATGTTCCATGAGGCTGTCCCTTTGTGGAATTTCATCTAGAATTAGTCAAGATAGAGTAGGGTGCAGGTGGCTCTTTTGCTACTAAAAATAAGTGCTTGCTTCTCATTTAAGAACCTTCTTCAGTTTTGCTTCTTGGATGAGAAGCGAAATGTCTTCAAGGAAAAACAAAGAAAGTCCAGTTGCCTCTTGAAAAAAGCACTTTGGGGACAACCATGACTTGGATGACAGAGAAACTCCATACAGAATTGAAGAGACAATCTAAGATTTCATGTTTCATTGTTGGATGGAATATAAAAGCTCATTAAGATTATTGATATGAGAATGGCACAGTTTAGTTAGGGGGTCCTAAATTGAGTCCAACTGGCAGAAATTGTCCATTTAAATGCCTGCCAAGTTGATTTGATGCTGACAACTGTCAGTAGTTGTTCTAAGGAAATTCTTAATTTTGTCTATCCATTGTTATCTTTTTACTTACCACAGTTCAGCCATGTAGAGTTGTTTTATCCCATCCCTCACAGGTCTGAATCATGTGAATTTCTGTTAATTCACCATCATCTCAACAAAACAGTTTTTCCTTAGTCCAGGGTCAATTGACCGATTCTTCCTGCTTTTCATTGTACTCATCTCCAAATCCATAAATTGAAAGCATCAATCTTCTATCTCCTGCACTTTCTAAATATTTCACTGCCATACATCACCACTTGTTTTATTTATGGTGAACTGGCTTGTCATAACAAAGTCCTTATCCTTCATCACCTTGTCCACATCTATCATGGCTTCCCTCCCAAGGATTAATCTCTTTACTACTTTAACACACTGCCCTTCTTTATCTATAATGATAAAGAAACCATCTTCCACCTTGCTGTCTTTCGCAGTCAGTCAGTCACAACTTCACGAAAGACACAGATGATTGTGTAGATCTCTTATATTTAACATTGTCTCTGTTGTTTCATTTTTCATTTTTTACTTTCTGAAGGAGTTTGTCTTAGTCATCTTTACCTTGCCATTGTCTGTCTATCTGATGCCAGCATTTATTGCTTTTAACCATACTATAACAAGTTTGCTGCATGACCTAAATAAACCCAGGAATATTTTCCCTATTTTGAATGACTCTGTTTTTCCAGACTCTGTTTTTACCCAAATTTCTTGCTCTTTATAAAGATTCCTCACAAGTGTAATCAGTTGTTCCTGCATACCCATTAATCTTCATAAGTTGCAATTCTAGCATTATTTACATAGTCAAAGCCCTTGTTGTTACCAATGAAGCAGAACTAAATGTTCTTCCAAAGGTACTTTTTCAAGAGGCAACTGGACTTTCTGGTTTTTCTTTGAAGACATTTCACTTCTCATCCAAGAAGCTTCTTGAATGAAAAATGAAATTTCTTCAAAGAAAAACCAGAAAGCCCAGTTGCTTCTTGAAAAAGCATTTTTGGGACAACCATGACTTGGATGACTGAAAATCTCCATAGACATTAAATTTTCTTCTTATTTTAACTTATGTTAAATACCTCATGTTTTGTCCTGCTTATGTACTTTATTATATTATATATTATTTAAAATAGTGACTGTGAATGTTGGTGACTTTAAGATGTGCTATTTTCTCAGAGCTTATGTGGGGTACCATACTAGTATTATTAATAAATCAAGCAGTAAAACACCAGTGAAGTTTTTCAGCGATGTAGCCCTCAACAAGATGCACAGAGCAAAACCTCTGCAGCCAGCATGTAGAATCACCTCTAAAGTCTTCTATAGATGTGTGTATAAGATGTGTCTAAGTCTTCTTTAGAGGTGATTCTCTATAGTCTTGTCTCCACCATCTGACAGTCACACATAAAGGGAACAGTTACATCTGTAGCAGAGGTCCCCAACCTCTGGGCCATGGCCCACTAGTGGGCTTTGAGCTGTTTGCAACCGGACCACGGAAATGGTGGGTGAGCGTGCACACACGCATCCCCTTGTTCAAGCAGTGGAGGAGCATGTGCATGCATGCTCCATCTGCATGAGCAGTGAGCGCACATGCATGCCACTGGTGCAAATGGAACTGCACGTGTGTGCTTGCCAGCCACTCCCCTCTCCTCCTCCCCACCAGTCTGCAAAGCCAGAAAGGTTGGGGAACTATGATCTACAGGATAGGAAGCCATCCACACTCATCCATCCACAGTTGCTTCTACCTTGATCAACCCTAGGCAACACTTACCTCAAACGCATGTTTTTGTATAACATTGATGACATTCTGGAAGGTAATTTTGCTCGTCAGAGTATGTCCATGATAAACCACTGGCTCGTTATTTGGTCCATCCCAGCAGTCAATCTCCACGCAGCGGCATCCCCTTCTAAGGGAACTTTTAGAAGAAAAATGTGTTTGGAAGGTTTTCAACAATACAACAAAACAATCCCATTTTAGCATCGGATTCAGTAGAACGGATTGTGGAGTTGACTGTGTTGTTGCTTTTGTTTCAATGCTGTCTATTCTTGGTCAGAAACTTGAAGGTGACTTGATGATTTACAAACATTGGGTCATTAAATCAGAATTTGTTTTATAATTTGTGGGGTTATTTTTCAATAGCTCTTTATTGGGTGAGAGCTTGTCTTCACATAGAACACAAAACTCATCACAACTGTTTGTACACACAGATCAGTATGTTGCTGTGTTCCTCAAACTTTATATTCAAATCATGATACATTTGACAATTTCTCCCAGTAGAGGATTTCCCCTATTTATGAGCTATGAAGCATGATACAACCTCGGTGTATCCATCATATGTAGCCTTTCCTCAAAATTATTGAAGACTGTATTAAACAAGTTTATCTTCACATCAGAAGATAAAATTCACAACACTGGCTAGACCAAAGTAATTCGGTCTGAAAAGAGAATGCAATCTTCATTAAGCTGCTACCTTTCATATATACAGATTTTAACTCTCTGAATTTTCAATAACAGCAGTACTGACACTAAATTCTGGGAATGAAAGCCTGCAAATCTGACTGACTCCCAGAGATAACTTAATTCAGCTCCATGACATTCCAGCGTCTTTTGTGAATTTTGTGCTGATTACTGACTAAAATGCAAGACTATGAGTTAATTTGCATCTTCTACAACGCAGAACTCTGATTGTGTGCCATCTTTTTCAATGTACTCAACAGATATAGAATTTTGGAACACTACTGTAATCTATTTTATGACAACTTGAAACCATTTCAGAATCCTTCCTGAATCCCTATAAAAATTATAAGCTTCAGGATAAAATAAAATCAGATTTCAAAATATGAATATGCTAAAATCTTTTCTCGAAGTTCTTGGAGGTAATATCTTTAAGTGTTATTATCTTTCATCAAATAAACAGCACTTTAGACTTTTCCCTATAGATCCACCCATTTGTTTAGTCCATTCTCCAAACCATGAAGAAATAAACATATGCCTGGGATCAGAAAAGTCTTCCCTATTCATCTCCAAATCTCATTGCCTAGAAGCCCAAGGCTACACAAAAATCATGACCACAATAATTGACTAACCACAACTCTCAGAAAGCATGGCCTGAAGTCTGCTTACTAGAGATCCATTGCCTCTCAAACCCATGCTTGCATTTCTTCATCACATTCAGTCTCTTTTTAATTACAGAAATCACAATTTGGGATAGTTTCTTTGACATTCTCTCTTAGTTCAGATTACCTTTCTTGATGAATAGATCCAACCTGAAATGTTTTATCTTGCTAAAGGAAGAACAGATCCTTCCTCCTACAAGCTGACACCATTTGTTTAACCATTGTTTCTTGCAAAGAGAAAGCCGTACAGTAGGACTAAGTAATAGACACATCTCAAATAAATTGCATTAATTGATTAACTGCAACATATCCAATGAAGCTGTCAAGCATCATCCTGGACCTATGATAAGTTGATGTCATAATCATATACGTTCTTAATCAAAATCAAGCAGTTTGCCACCATCAATTTACAGCAGGAAAATTATTGAAACAAAAGTCACTTCAGCAAGTTGAAAATTCCTTTAGTCTCCTGTTTGGCTAGAGTGGTTTTCCTGAATTGTATCCTATTTCCATTGTTAAATTCTGGAAGCAGCCTAAAGTAGAGCTCATTTCAGGTAAACTTTACAGATCAATAATATCTAGAAATAAACTTTAAGATTCCAGTGAGAATCACAACATTGCAGCACATCTGATGCTGGAAGAGTTGTTCAATAGCAATTTTATTTATGTATACATTTACAGATAAATCATTTTCAAACATATTTATGTATTAACAAAAAAATCATAAAACCAGTAAAAGGAATTAACCTCCAGTAACATTCATGTGTTATTATATAATAATACAGATTACAGGTGTTCCTTGATTTATAACCATTCGTTTAGTGACCTTTCAAAGCACTGAAAAAATGACATGGCCATTTTTCACACTTATGACCATTGCAGCAATTCCAAGGACAAGCGATGAAAATTTGGACTCTTAGCAACTGGTTCATATTTATGATGGTTACAGTGTCCCAGGTCACATGATCACTTTTTATGACCTTCTGACTAGCAAAGTCAATGAAGAAGCCAGATTCTCTTAACAACTGTGTTAGTACCCTAACAACTGCAGTGATTCATTTAACAACTGTGGCAAGAAAAGTCCTACAATGGAGCAAAACTTAATTGTCTTGCTTAGCAATAGAAATTTTGGGGTCAACTGTGGTTGCAAGTCAAGGACTACTTGCATATATATTCACGGTAATAAATCAGTGATGCATTCATCTTGAAAAAGAGTAACAATACATTAGATAATGCTTCAAAATATTATTAAACATTTCTGTAACAAAAATAATCCCAAAAGAAAGGAATTTACAGTTACTAGATCAGAACAGTATTCTAAAAGCAATAATCAGTGAGAGGGAGGTCATATTAATCAATAATATAACAACTACCCAATACATGAAATATTCAGACAGGTCAGAAAGAAATCAAATTAAAATTGATTAAAATTGACCTTATTAAGCATTGACCTTATTAAGCATTGACCGCATTAATTTCAGTAGGGAAAAATGACTAATTAGTCTAGCTTCAACAGGATAAATTGCAAGAATAGTTAAGAAAGTCTTAGGTATTCAATTAAATACATTATTTCAAATAATAGCATTAGATATTATGGCATATTCCATAAATGTTTGCATAACTAAATAGTTCAAAGTTTTGTCTTGGTTAGAATAGAAAAGCAGCGTGGTAGCTTGTGTGATAAGGATGCTGGGATGGAGGTCAGTGAGCCCACGTTTGAGATCCAAGTACTGCTATGGGGCGGGGTTGAGCTCCCGTCTTTCGCTCCAGCTCTTGCCGGGGTCATGAAAAAATCTCTCAGTTGGATGTTCCCCACACAGTGGTGATGTCACCAGCTACTTCTTTCAAACCACAAGTGCTTTAGTTCTTCTGACATGAGTGCAGGCAAAGGTTACAATAGAAAAAAGGAATACCTGAATAAATCAGGTAATCCTTTTCATCATTCTAATTTGGGATTGGAGTTTTGCTGTAGCTATCATATTTAAGTAGCATTCTTTTACACATCCATCCACCATTCTTCCTCTCTGCCTCTCCCAAAGGAAGTACATACTTGGCATAGCCCCACAGATGACTTGGCCCTATTAGCTGATCCTGGATAAGGTAAGTGTTGTGTGAAGACGATATGAAGTAATCGCACAGTGGGAGATTCATATCTTGGTAAACCATTTTGTTCTCCATTTTGAATATACCGCAATCTTCTGACAGCATATATCGTATAAAGCCTTCGATGGTCATCTCCTTCTGGCTTCTTGCTAAAGGCCGTGGTGGGAATTAAAAGAAACAAGCTCAGTTTTTTCAGATTCATGTTCCAACTAAAACTAAACAGACTAGAAAGAGTCCACATATCCTTCACCAGATCTTAAACTGCACATTGACACTTTATTTTATGTCATTAGACCCTAGGCAAGTCTTCTCCAATCAGGAGACCTGCAGAAATTCTAATTAGTTTCACCAAATATGGACATGGAAGCAGGCATGGTTCTTTCATAGGCTTGTTGTAGAGCAAAACTCTTCGTTTGGGGCAACCGGAATAATTTCTTTGAAACTTTGAGGGAAATTCTCTATTAATTATATGGTATTTCTCAACCTTAGCAACTTTAAGACATCTAGACTTCAACTCCCAATTATGCTGGTTGTGGAATTCTGCGAGTTGAAGTCCACACATCTTAAAGTACCTACTGTTCAGAAATGCTGAGTTATTACATAACTCTTCTCTGTAGTGCCTAAGTTCTCTCAATATATTTCTCTAAACCTAAATGGACCCTGGGTAATTTTGATGCTCCCTATTATGGGAAACTCAGTTACTCCATTCGTATCTTGTCTGAAGCAAGCCATCACTTTAAACCATAGTTATTTCAGCAAGCAAGTGACCTATACAACAGAGAAGATGTACAGAGGATTCAAAGCTTTAGTTCCAACAAGGAAAAGAGCCTTTCACTGTTGTGATACAACTTTGACTTTTTCATATCCGAGTGTGATATCGTGAAATAATTACATTGCAATGGTATGATCTTTCTCCCATCACAGGCCCGCCTTACAGCTATTGCTAGTGAACACAGCAGTTGAGTGTCATCATTTGGAGTTGTTGTTTAGCTTGTTGGGTGAACCAGCTCATTGTGACACCATTAATAACTATCCCTTGCAACACAGAAGACAAAGAAATGTTGGTGGCCATAAGCTGAGATTTAATAGTACAGCATTTTCAGGCTAGTATGCATAGCTTATCAGGGTCCAACTCTCTTGTTTTCCTACCTTTGTAATGGGACCATATATCCTTCTTCATCTGACTCAGATATTCTTCTGACTGAGATACATTTTTGAATTATAGATATAGGTTATGAAATATCATCCCTATTGCAGAGAGTGTGGTAGTTGACTGACTATTTCATTCAGGTTTGTTCCACAAGATACCCTCACAAAGGTGTCCACAAGGTGTGGTCCCAAAAAATCAAGATGGTGTTCATAGACCATACCCTGAGGATACCCTTATATTCTCACCTTGTGCAACATGTAGATAATCACACAAGTGACCGTTTTTCCTTGCAATGTGGGAATATCCTGCATATCTAGAATGTGATCTTTCAATTCTTTGCAGCACAAAGATAACTTTCCACAGCTTGGAGACATGGGGATGATCTGAATGCCGAAATGTTAGCTCAGTTCATCCAGATAGGAAGTAGCTTAGAGATGGTACTCTAGGACTGGGGTGTCAAACTCACGGCCCACAGGCTGGAGGCATCACACATTGGCATGGCCATTCCTGGTTTAGCAAAGTGGGGGAAGTTGTGATACATCACGTGACGACAACATGATGCCACAAGTTGGACACCCCTGCTCTAGGACAAATAAAGGTTGTTGGCAAGCAACAGAATAGAGCCACCGCAGAGCAGAGAGTGTGAAAATAGCTCTTATAATGATGATAAATGTGGCATCCTCCTCACTACTTCTGTTCTGATGTATTACACTTCTAAATGTAAGAGAGAGTGTTGAAGCTGGGAAAGAGTAGAAGGGAGAGTAGTGGGTAAATAACCAACTGAATAAAGGTGAGTCAGATGGAACTTAAACCAAGTGGGGAGAAACATGAGAAGAAGTGCTTCAAATCATTCAGAGTTTCTGCCTTAATTAAGATAAATAATGCTAGGATTTCTTTATGAAGTTTTCCATTTATCCTTGAACAGCATCAAAGAGACTTTTCTGACGTCTGTGTGTTTCTCACTTCTTGACTGGTTACATGGGGCTTAACAAAGAGTAGCCCCCACAGAGAACGGGGGAACCAAAAGAGACATGATGGGTCATCCCTGTGGTCCATGTGACTTTTTGCCTTTCTTTCAGTGATGTCCATTGGATATCATTGAGTAATTTCTTAGTCCCTTTCTTCTCCCCTTTAAATCCGAATGCTGTGTGCCAACAGTATAATAACTTTATAATTATTTTTAATGGTTAATAAATGACAAATTGTTAATTAAATTAGCTTTGGAGATAGGAAGCATTTGGTTTCTATGATATGTATATTTTAATTGGTTAAAATTGCTCGGTTTCTGTCTAAAGCTCTTTTTGCTGAAACTAAAATTAGCCCGCTCTTAATTATTTTTTTAGAATATTACATGTTTCAAAAATTATTCAGAAGGAGTGGTTCCAAATGCAGGGGGGCAAAAACACAGCATCTCTTTAAGACAGGAAAACCTCTAAACAGGCAGCTGCTTTAATGAGCCCCATTAAAGATGTGGTTGTTTTAAGGATTAAGCTCATTTAATGAAAAATATTAATGAATTTGATGAGTCGCATTAAAGACATGATTATTTAAGAGAGTTGATTTCCTATAGGTTTTCTAGAATTCATCACCCAAAAGTAGCTGCTTTAAAGAGATGCTGTTCTTGCCTTCCTATATGTACTGAAGAATCTCCTCAAAATCATTTTCAAAGCATTCATAGTTTCATTTTTTAATGTATAGTTTTACTGATCTTGGTACTTTTTATCCTTTTCTTCAAGCAACCTCTTTCCATACTCCAACCTAGATTATTTTTTTATCTGTTTATTGTGCTCAATGTGGTTTGTTTTTTTTAACTCTATGCTTTTCACTTCCAACCCTAGCTTAGTATGTTTTTTTCGCTCTTACCGAGATACATTTCAAAATGTATCCCCTTTTTATTCTTCTTTCTTTGAAAAATAAATTGTGCCTGCAAGTGACAGATTGGCTTGTAACACCAAAAGACATAGTCTCAACACCACGGGCTACATACATTATGGGAAAGCTTCTCTTTTCTATCTCTGTCCTTCCCCTGCTTTTAAAAACTTTTTATTGATTCCATCTGTTACACAACTGTGCTACAAAATGATATTGGAAGCCAGAATGGTGTTTTAAACCCAAGTACCCTCTTACTTTCATGATCCTTATTGTCTTTTGATTCATGTCTCTTGAAGTTTCCTTGGCTGTGAACCATTCATTGATCCAATATTCTTGCAAAAAAGCTAAAGGAATATTCTGGATGCTAGATTAGGTTTGTAATAATAAAAGTGTAGGTCACATGGAATATTGACTTAATCAGGGCTATGATTCAGGGCTCTGCCCATTACAACAATTGCAGAGGTTTATTTTATCCATAAATAAAGTTCAGATACTGAGGAAAGCAAAATCACTACAAACCCTATTATGCAGCAGGAAAGGAATTGTCTCAGTTTGCAAGTCAAGCTGAGCCCACGGTTCACAATTCAGCTAGATGTAGCTGAGAGCTCGGAAGCCGCAAGAGGGGATGTGTACTTTGATATGAAAAACTAATCTTCCCGGCTATATTTTAACACGAATAAGACAGCAAAGAAGAGCCCTGCTCAAGAAGCATATCTTTTATATCTAGGTTATCAGGGGTGAGCAATGCTTCAGGAATTTGCCACAAGTTGAAACCATGTTTCAGAATCTGCTGGAAATGCAAATATAACATTTGTCTGTAGCTCTTTAAAGCAGCGTTGTCTTTTCCTGGAGGGTAGCAGAATGTAAATATATATGTATAGTCAGTGGTGGGATTCAACTGGTGTAACAACCGGTTCTGTGAGCGCGCAATTTGCATTTGAAAACCACCCATTTTCAGCTCTAAATCTCACCTTCTCTTGCAGCCCCAGTGAGTAAAACAGCTGATTCGTACGGCAATCTGCTGTGCCGCACAAATCAGCTGAGCTGCAAAACATGGAAATGTATGACAGACTACGGCAGGGGCAGGTGGGCAGGGCCAACTGATTGCTGGAACTACCAGTTCACCTGAACTGGTCCGAACCGGCTGAATCCCAGCCCTGTATATAGTGCTAAATTCATATCTCTGATCTGGAACACTCTACAGTTCTAACACTTATCTCCCTCTGCTTCTGCAGTAGTATCCCATTTCCATCTTCCTTACACAACCATCTTAGGACAGGCTGAATTCTTTATTTTTTTTCTTAATTTTAAATAATTTTTATTGAATAAACATTAAAAAAAATTGAACACAGTGCTACTTTCTTGGCCATCATTTTGGCCATACAAACTATAGTATAGAGATACACATAACAGTTAATTTCCTTTTTTCACTTGTTATTAGTAAAGTGCTAGCTGCATATTATTTCTATTTACATTTATCTACAATTATATACATATTTACAACCATCTTTTATACTCATGCATTTGTATCATCTCATATTTGTCCATTATATTCCATTCTCTTTGATTTACAAAACTTTAATGTTCATTCCTATAAAAAGTCAACCCTTTCTTTCTTTTTCCTTGACTCTAGCCATTGATATATTTTACTCCAGACTTTATAATACTCTGTCTCACCCTTATCTTTGATTTCTAAAGTTAGTCTGTCCACCTCTGCCCAGACTAATATTTTCCTTATTATTTCACTTTCCATAGGGATATCTTCATTCTTCCAGTTATGGGCATACACCAATCTTGCAGCTTTTATTATATGTATAATTAAATATTGTTCCTCTACTGTATTTCTCATTCATAATTTCCAGTAAGAACATTTCCGGTCTGAACTCTACTTTCTGGTTAACCATCTCTTCTATACAAACCTTTATTTTCCACCACTATGGCTAAATTCTTGAAGAGGTCTCCTACCAATTATGTGTGCAGGGATCAAGGGGAATGGTAGCCCTAAAAGAGAAAGCTGCCTAGAGTCCATTTTTTATTCATTGCACTCATAAGAACTTGAATAACCTGGCCAGTTAAAGACCAGCATTGGAGATTTTAATTCAGCAGGAGTTCTTATTAAAAAAAAAA